AGTCTCTTGCATATTAAAATATTCCTTGATGTCCTGAGTATGTGGTTGCTGCACAAAGACCCTAAAAAGGATGACATATTTCTAATGATGTTTAAAACTATAGCCAAGGTTAAGAATCATTTCTCTTATGAAATAGATGAATGTTATTTTGCTGGATGTTTTGTGACCCAAAGAAAGAATAGAAATTGATAATGATTTGGGTCTATTTATGTAGAGTATTAAATAGCAACAAAACCATTTCCTAAAATCTCACATGTGGAAATTTTTGGAGTTTTTATTTATATACTCTGATTAAGTACTACATGATCAAATAAATTTGTGGTTATGTTTACCCCTGCCAGTAGACAGTAAATGGCTTTACAGTGACTCAGGCCATGATGCAGGAAGGGGAGATGAAAAGAACATGGACTTAGGAGAAGAAGGACCAAGTCTGGGGTTGCATCCCAGTTCTTAGCAAATGACACATTCTCACCAACCCTTGGCTCATCACTATAAAATAAAGATAACAATCCATTTGTGAAATTGGGAGATCATGTATGCAAAGTGCCTGGCATATGGAATTCACTTAGGATAAATCTCTAAAATATTGAATATTTCATCATTTTTGAACATTTTCTGAAAGTCTTCCTTACATACACTCTCCCTCTAAAGGAATAGAATTTTTTTTCTTAAATAAAATGATTTCACAGACGCTAGCCATGAGATCCACAAAGGCAAGCAGCTTTGAGAAAATTCCCAAATCCTTTTGGCTTTAGCTACAAAACTAGTGCAACAAACTGGGCATGAGAAAGTCCTTTAGAAATGTTGCAGCTTGTGATGGTCCAAGATTTATTCCATAAGTCATTTGGATAAACACTAAATTGCAATGATTATTTGCACAAAGGGGAGAGAGCCTGAGAGAGGCTGCCATGTTAGACTCTCGGAGCCCTATCTGAGTTCCCTGTAAGGAGTTTAGAAAAGGAATTAGGAAATCCAAACCCTCAGAGAATACTCCTGGTAGCTGTTGGAGATACCACACACTTGCCACACCTGATAACTCACTCCCCCAGGACGACTGGAATGAGGACCCTGCAGTGTTGTTTCTCACAGTGGAAAGGGAAACAATTGGCATTTCCTAATTTATAGACAGATGACAGCCTGAGCCAGCAATAGCTTCCTGGGTATAGGTATCATGTGCAAAAGGGAAGATGTTTTTCAGCACACTCAAAACCAAGGTGATATTTTGAATCAGATGAGATAGACTGAATTTTTGCTTTTCTTTTTTTCACTCCATTGTCTTAGTTTTTAATGCTCCTTTTCTCCTATTTATATTCCCTCAGTCTGCCCAAAATTCCTCCAGTGATTTCCCACTTGGATCATGCATGCAATGTTCCCAACATGTAAAAGTCACTCGAGATGAAAGTTCTAGAATAATGATCATTTCATAATTCTTACATATCAATCATCTGTAAGCCTTCCTTAAAGTCTCCCATATCCACAAATTCCTTTATAATGCAAAATGAACTCTTTAAATCTTTTTTATCTGCCATCAAAATTCCCAAAAAGATATTAACTTTGCAACAATTGTGGCAAACTAATTTATACTAGTGTGTAATGGACTGATGGTTCCACAATGATGAAAGTTACTTGCATTTTTTAGAAGGGGATAATTGTTGCCAAAATTAGAACAGGGTCATAAAGTATCAAGTCATTATAGGCTTATTTTTTTTTAAAATTGGGGGGATAAGAAAAGAATAATTCAATTGCTGAAAAATGAGTCCTCAGGGTCTGCTTTTCTAAACAACTGCTTTTTTCTAGACTCCTTCCCTCCTAAAATTCTGCAACCCTAGATCTTTATAAGATCTACTTGGTATAATATGTGTGTCTGTTGTTATCCAGAAAGACTGTGGGAGCAAACACACACAAAAAAAGCTGATTAGCTGATGTGGGAGAGGGCACAACTACACATTAGCTTAGGGGTAAGCACTTTCTCCATCTGAATATTGATAAAAACCTAAGCAGTTACTATTGTATAAACATTGACCCATAATTGGGGACATGCCACTTAGTATTATTGCCATTTACAAAAAGGAAAAAATAAAAAGCTAGATATAGGTTCAACTTGAATTTTGTTAGGGCAGAGAGGGAAAAAAGATAGATTTTCAAACCATTATAAATATGTGGCAAGAAGCCTCCCATTTCCATGAAACTTGAAAAAGTTGCCAGGAGTCCTCACAGGGCTATATCTGTTAGACAACTCTCAAGAGCTGTCACTGCAACCATGATACAAAGGAGGAAGCTCCAACCTAAGAGGGGAAAAGTCACCCCCATGGAGAAATAGTGCTGAGAAGGGAACTTAAATTCCAACTTCCCACAGCATCCTTCCATTAGCCTTTGTGGGCTACCTCCACAAGATCCTAGCTCTTGGTCCAAACATTGCTGGTATCAGAGAGCACAGATGTGCATAAAAGCACATTTTAAATTATGAGCATTTGGATTTGTTTTTGTTTGTTTGACTTTCCAACATGGGTCCTTAGATCAGTAGTTCTCTTTTTGAATCAAATAATAAGCAAAGCTTCCTCCTGTTCCCTGGGTGAGCCAGTTTTGAAATTTGCCTGATTCTTTCTACCAACAGTACAGCTGGAATGAACTCAGAATTTTGAAGCCACTCACTGTGTGACAAATTTGTACAAATAACTTTTCTCACATTCACTTCCCTATTTTTTAAATGTTTATTTTTTAGTTGTAAGTGGACATAATACCTTTATTATTTTTTTCTTTTTATGTGGTGCTGAAGATTGAACCCAGTGCCTCACACGGGCTAGGTGAGCGCTCTACCTCTGAGCTACAACCCCAGCCTGGGTTCCCTAATTTTTGAATGGGAGCAATCACATTAATCTTATAAAGTTGTTGTGATTTGACAGTAATGTTATTTCAAGTACATTATTGCAATAGCCTCAAATCTGGTTGTTTCTATTTGTGCCTACCTTCCACCTACTACCAATAGAACAGCTCTAATAAAGCTTCTGTCCTATAGTCTTCTGCTCAGTCCCCTGCTGCTATTCCCCCTCACCCCATTCAGAGGAGAAACCCAAGTTCTTTACTGGCTTATGCTGTCTGCCACCTCTCTGCCCTGAACTGCTACCACTCTCTCTTACCCTGGATTATTTTGCTGGAGCCACCCTGGAACCCTTCATGGGAGATTTTTTTTTGTTTGTTTGGTTGGTTGGTTTGATTTGGTTTGTTTCTCTAGCACCTTTGTCTTGAAAAATCATTTTGTGCTGAGGGAAGCAGCATTCAGTTTGCCAGTCTTCTTGGGATTTTTATTTAACTAGAGTGTCTTCATCCTAAGGATTAAAACATGATAGAAACTTTAGCTCATGAATCAAAACAACTCTTCAGAGCTAAAAGCTAGCTACATTTGCATAACAATTTAGCAGAACCAAACAGCAGGGCAAGGTCAGGTGAAATAAATTGCCAAGGTCATGGTTCTCTTGAAGTGGTATTGGATTCAGAATTGCTGATCCTCAGTGCTTGCTGCCCCATGGATATCTCTCCCACCCTCCTTTGTAAATGATGCTATGATATAAAATTAATCCGGGTAAGAGTGGAAACCATAGGCCTGCCCTTAACCCTTTCCTTTGCTGGAACTGCCTGATTATTCAGATCATGGAGAAGATGGATCATATGCCCATTGACCTCACTGTATTGACAAACAAATGAAAAAAAAGTTAAAAAATTTTAAAAATTACTGGAAACCATAACCTGGGGATTCTTGGCCTAAACTAGGAACTACTGTTGACTGTGTTTAAAACTAAATGTATCTTTAATCACTTCAATTTCTTGAATAAATAATTGCCTTGAATTCATTTCGTTTTAATCCTGACAACCTAAAAACACAAGGCTCCTTAAAAAATACAGAGGTCCACATGCCAGAGAGCAAGAAGCTGGGGAGATTAAATGTGTAAATAATTCTTGGTTTAATACCCTTAACTAGAAAAACCTTTATAGCGGCTCATCAAAGGGAAGCTCCTTAAAGTCACAGCCTCTTTGAATCTGTCTCAGTGAAGCACAGGACTTCAGATCTCCCAGGCGCAACTCTGAATTCAGAATTTTAGGCGACTTGGGGTCCTTGTCCCCTCTCGGCCTTACGGTCTCAGGGAATTTCCAAACTACAGACTCCCAGGTTTTGAGGGAATAAGACTTTTCCAGGGGCGCGGGATGTGCCACCCGGGAATCTCACCATCAGTGGGCGTTTAGCGCAGCCAAGCGACAGACTGGCGCCAGGTCTCAGCAACAGGGAGGCGCCGGCTGAGGCGGGGAGAACTTTGGCGCTCCGAGCAGAACCACCCTTTGCTGGCCAGTCGTGTCGCTCCTCCGAGGAAGCAAGCGGCGTTGGCGACTGGGAGGAAAGAAAACGGAAGAAAGGAAGTAGCTAGGCGAGGAGGAAAATGAAGCCAGCGCTGGGGGATCCGCGGGAGGGTGGCCGATAGTGGAGCAGGGCGGATTTGGCTGCTTCCCCGCATCCCGGTTGTGAACGCCCTCTCCAACGCGACCTCAAGGAAATAAGTGAGTCTTGCCGGGGCGGAAAAGGAAAAGAAACCAAGTGAGAGCATTGCTCTTCTCTCACCTCTGCTCCCTCGGAACTCCGACTGCTTCTCAGCCCAGCCGTCTCGCCGGGCCGGACGCAGTGCCCTAGGCGCCCTGCAGATGGGGCGGTCAGGGAACCCGCGCCCAAGCCGCGGGTGACAGGCGCTGGCCCGCCCGCCTGCCCCGCTCGGCGGACGGACCCGGCGGGCAGAGGATGCAAGACAGAGGAACCCGGGAGTAGGATCTGAGACTGCTGAGTACGCGCTAGACTCCAACTTGGATGGCCCAGAGACCGCTCTAGTCCCTGGGACAGCTTCACCGCGTCCAGTGAAGCTGCGCTCGGGACCCGGAGGCGGAGACCTTAGGCGGCGGCTGCAGAGGGGCCAGCCGGGCGCAGGAGGGGGCGCGCTTTCTCCCTGCGGGTCTCAGTAATGAGGAGACTGAGTTTGTGGTGGCTGCTAAGCAGGGTCTGTCTGCTGCTGCCGCCGCCCTGCGCGCTGGTGCTGGCCGGGGTACCCGGCTCCTCCTCGCACCCGCAGCCCTGCCAGATCCTCAAGCGCATCGGGCACGCGGTGAGGGTGGGCGCCGTTCACTTGCAGCCCTGGACCACAGCCCCACGCCTAACTAGCCGCACTCTGGACGGCAACAGGGCAGGTGCCCAGAGGGATGAGCCAGAGTCAGGGACTTGGCGGCCGCAGGCGCCCTCGCAGGGCGCACGCTGGTTGGGGAGCACTTTGCATGGCCGGGGACGGCCGAGCGCCCGAAAGCCAGGGGAGGGCGCCGGGGCCGAGACCCTGTGGCCGCGGGACGCCCTCCTGTTCGCCGTGGACAACCTGAACCGCGTGGAAGGTCTGCTGCCCTACAACCTGTCTTTGGAAGTAGTGATGGCCATCGAAGCGGGCCTGGGCGATCTGCCGCTTTTGCCCTTCTCCTCCCCTAGCTCGCCATGGAGCAGTGACCCTTTCTCCTTTCTGCAGAGCGTGTGCCACACTGTGGTGGTGCAAGGGGTATCAGCGCTGCTGGCCTTTCCCCAGAGCCAGGGCGAGATGATGGAGCTCGACTTGGTCAGCTCGGTCCTGCACATTCCAGTGATCAGCATCGTCCGCCACGAGTTTCCACGGGAGAGTCAGGTGAGAGGAGTCTGGAGCGTGGAATGGAGCTGTGCGCTGCTGGAGTCGGGACCAGAGCGAGGGGGAGGGGGAGGAAAAGGCTGGGGGGAGTGTGGAGGGTCTTGGGGCTTTATAACTTTGATATTGTTTAAGGATTAGACTATGCCCATAGATGGTAGAGAGAAGGACGTCGGTAGAAGTTGAATGAAACATTTTAAGCGCACATGGAAATGAAAGGCGAGGCGGGGGGGTCGTGGATGGAAGGAAGTGGGGAGAATACGCGGGGGCGGGGGATAATGTTTTGATTAGCTGGGAGAAATCCAGTGAATACCCAACGGAAGTAAAAGTCAAGTTTCAGGACCTTGGAAAGCGACCGAGATTCTGAAGACTTGAGGGAAGAGTGGGGGTGGGGATCCCTGACTGCTACAATTTTACCCTCCCAAGAGGAATTCTGAGAGCATGTGGCAGAAAAAAAACAGCATCTGCTCTTTATGACTTCTTCAGAAGGCGTGTCTGAGCCTTGGGCGATGGTGTAAGAAAGCACATCCCTCTGAATTGTTTTGAGTAAATAGAATATCTCCAACTAGCACAGCAGCATAGGCAAATAAAAGTGGTTTATAGTCTTGGGTATTAGAAAGCTTTAGACATAGTATCTGATAGTGTAAAAATGCATGTAGAAAGTCACTTGGGGATTGCTTCTTTGTCCCCACCTTACTTCTATGTGATGTGGACTCAGAGGCTAGTATGCAATTGCTGTGCTCAGCCCATTTCTGCTATCATTCTCCAAAAATAAATGAACAAGGATCTAATTATTTAGTTTCCTATGGGTTAAAGTGCTAAGTATGTCTTCAGAGAAAAAAAAATATGAACCTAAGTGTTTACCAATAATATGAAGAAGTGGATATTAAAGAGAGGTTAGGGTCCTTTTAGCTGAAGAAGTGTTCTACATTTTATATATTGCTCTTATGACAATGTCAAGATATATTAGCCTTCACAAAATATTTATTAAGCAAATAGATAACTGACATTGGCCCCATTTTAAAGATTGAGAAACCAAGGAAAGTTCAGAGTCTGGATGAATATTGCTCAGTGTACTAATAAGAGTCCAGGCCCTGGAAGATTTCTTATTCTACATCATTTTCAATTCTGTCCCTTTAGCTGAAAAAAAAAATCATTTCTAATCTCTCTTCTTCCACTTTTGATATATATGCAGACATAAAAGCTAAAATGAGTAAGGGCAATATACAAGTGAAAAGTTTGATGGAATCTATGTATAAAATATCAAGGGAGTACTAAAGATTTCTTTTTCTAGAAAAATGAATCTTCCATTTTTAATCTTTGAAAAGGCAAGTACAAACTACTTTCAGTATTTGCCCAGAAGATTCCCATTTCATGATGAGCTAGAGATTTGATCTGCAGAGTGCAGGCTAATTAACTTTTATCTAAAATATTTCTGTCACCAGAATCTGAATGACTGTAGGAAGCAGAAGGGAAGACACAGAAAACACAGGTGCACAACACTGCCAATGGCCAAAGGGTTATAAACATGAAATTGCATCCATAGGGTGCAGCATTATTAATATACATACAGAATCAGATCTAATGAAATGCAGGAGTCAGCATTGCTTGCTTCTCATCATTACTTCTTTATTACCTAATACTTCAGAAGTTGCCAATAGTGGTCACAGTCTCCAGACTCCCTTCCATTTGCAGATTGTTTGGCAAGAGTCTTAAAGAGCAAGAATTTTCTCCCAAAATGAGTGTTCCTTAGTTAGAAGGGAAATTGCCTGTGTTGCATGATCGATGTGTGCGGTATACAGCACATTACACCAAGGAGAGGAGGAAAACCATGAGACAGCATCCAGAATCAGTAAACTTCAGAGCTGTGAGATCACTGGTGGATATAAAGACCTTCAGGGACAACCCTTACAAGCTGGCTATAAAATAAATACTCTGCCAAGCACATTTATTTCTGTATTGCATTTCAGAAATGTATTTTAAATCATGGTTGCCACTGTCACTTTCATGGTACACATTTTGAGAGGGAGGGATTATTGTATTAAGGAGATCTAGTTTGTTCAACTGACAACATTTTCTTTCATCTCCCTTTGGATTTTAAATTCAAATATATCTAACTTGTCTCACTTTTAGTATATCATGTCATTCTGTAATATTCTATATTAAAAATATCCTGCTTAATGTCAAGTCACTGTAATATGTAATTTTAGGATACGACCATACTCTGCTCTCAGCAAAATTAATAACTGATCTTTCCCTTGCTTCTCCTGAAAGTGGACCTTTCTCTATTACACTGATTTTTTTAACTTATAAATATTAAAGGATGTCAAAGTCATTTTTCACATTAAATAAAATTGACTTAATTTAGTCACTGTCCTTGAAGTCTACTGCCCAGTGACCTAATTTGTTGATTGTACCAGTGCCTGAATAAACTATTCTAAAAGAAAGTGGAGTTAACCGTACAACCAACTAAAATAAAATTGTTTCCCTTATATTCAAGCAAATCAAAGTTGCTTTTTGAGTAGGAGTAGCAACAGCTGTTTTCTCTCTCTTCCTTTTTTACTGCTTCCCTTCATAGGAAGGTTTTTAATTATCAAATAGTGACTTGGTAACATCCTGCCACAACTCTTGAACAAAAAGAGATACCAGTAAGGTGATCCAATTCCTGAGAAATCCTTACTGCTTATTTCAATATGCTGTTTGTTCAAAACATAAATACATAGGGTCAATCATCAGCTTAGAAGGGACGTACTTTTTTTCAGGCAGGGGAAAAACCCATTAAATGTAAGTTAAAGTTAACTACCCACTTTTGGTAAACATGCATATTGTGAGCACATAATAAAAGCTTAACAACACATTCCACAAAGTAGGGGGCCAAAGTTCACTTCCATCCAAAAATTTCTGACTTACCTAGCACACGCAAATTCCCACTTGAGGCTAGCCCTTATTATTAAAATGATCACTTCTTAGTTATAAATTCTATTCCTGTGACCTTCAAGTAACGGAAACTACATATGAACCCAGTTTCATTTATATTTAAGTTATATTAAGTTCCAACAGTTATTTTTTTCTTTCTCTTCCCTTCCCATACTAAGTTTTCTTCTAGGGGTTTTAAGTAGTTTCTTCCAAGTTAAATCCTTAAAATTTACCTGCTGATACAGTGACAGATGTACACTTTTTTTCCAAAATATATATCTCATGTTAGTTCCATATTGGTTTCATTAGGCAGAGTTAATGAAGTAATATAATTGGCATAGATTCAAACCTTCCCAATTCAAAAATGACTACATGAGTATTTTCAACTTTTATTGAATATATCAACCACAAGTTTGCCTGTCTTATGAACCATACATGCTAATTAATATGTTTATTTCCATGCAAGTGTTATAGATAGTCCATTTTTCTTCGACAACACAAAGTTAAATACTGACACCCATTTATTAGAATTTGACTAGCACAGCATAACTTTTGCAAGGTACAGTAGACAGAAGAATGAGACCACTACATAACTTAGGTGCTTCGTCAGGGTTCCAGTAAAGGACAGTTGTTTTTAAAACGTCTATTCTCAACTGTGTTGTTTTTTCTTGAGTTGCTCTACAAAAAGCTCGGCTCACTCTCCTCTGGGGAAAGTATTTTTCTACAATTCTTGATGGATGGCTGATTGTAGCACCTAATTGTTGCTCACTTGAAGATAAACCATTTCAAATTAAATGTCAAGTGATGAAAACTTTTCTCAGTAGTGATCTTTTCTAGGTTCCTCTTAAAGAGCAGAGACCTGGGATTAATTTGGAATTTTTTAAAATTTAGTGGTTTATTTATATTATTTGTTTATTTTTCCAGATAAGTAGAGTGGAAGAAAGAAACTAGCAGACACCATTTATTGGGCAAGCAGTCTGTCTAACCCACATTTCTTTGTGTTTACCACAGGAGTATCATTTAACCCATAAATAATGTATATTTGTTCTTGATATTTCCTGATCATTGTATCATGGAGTTAATTTATGATTGAATCTGTTGAGCTATCTGAATACCAATTTGAATGTCCAATCCTTAGTGATTTATCTTCTGATGTTGCAAAGGACATAATGGATTTGGTACCATTAAATTTTTATTTCATGAACACTCTTAAATTCCAATCACATTGGTTAAAAGAGCACAATGTAATGGAAAGTATATGAAATAATGTCAAAAGATTTCCAATCTACTTCTGCCTCTTTCTTACTTGGCCATGTAAACTTGGACATGTGACTTTCTCTTGGAGAATCTATTCTGATCAGTCAAATGAATGTTCCTTATCAATCTGAGAGAAGTGTTTTATGAATCAAATTAGAAAGTGAGAGTATTTTGGATCAATTGATAGTATTAGTCAAATAACTCGTGGAAAAATGATGAATATAATTTGATAAGAATCATTAAATCCTAATTCTTCACTAATTCTCTATTAGTTATCAAAATGAGATATGATTCATAGTATAACATCTCCATCCTCCACCTTGCTCCTTACCTATCCCTTGTATTTTTTTTTCTCTTAAAAAGAAAAAAAGTAAATATTTTTAGGGGGATAAAAAAACTAGGTTCCTTAAATAGGTTATACACTTGCCTAGAAAAATGAGACAGGCCGTAGTACTCTTTCTGTATCAGTGACAGTTCTTACCTGTTATATCCAATACAGCTTCCGGAAACTTGGGAACTATTATAGAAGCTATGGCAAGAAGCCCAGTGTTTTTGAGAAAGCTTGATCCTTCATATAGGTCACAAGTTTTTTCTACATGCAAATTTATCATTCATGAGACTACTAACACAAGAGTTCATCCCACCCACCTCCATCCCATTGACAATACCACTATGCACACTACTTGGCTGGCTCATCCAACATTTTTTTTTTCATGACTAGCCTTTCTTGAAGAAAAAAAGCAGTGTATTGACTTACATTGGCATAAACTCTTTATTTCATCCCAGACAGACAATAAGTACCTTTTCCCTGGGCAACTACGTGGGGCTAT